CAACTGAGCTTTGAATAGGCACACCTGGCTTTTTAAAGGACTTTTTCAGCTGTTACCTGGTTGTTTGGCAACTAGGAGGTTTAGGCATAGAAAGGGTGACATGCTCAGAGACACGTGCAGCCGAGCCTCCCTCCAGTTCACTAGGCTTCCCTAGAGGGCCTTTTGGTTTCCAGGGCCAGCAGCTGGGGAGAGGAGGAGAGAAGCCATTTCACCTATTTTGTTGAATAGCTGGAGAAGTAGGAGACTGGACCATGGGAAAAGTAGGGAATCTAGCCAGGCTCAACCCACCCCCACCTCATTCTCAGGCTAATGATAACCCTTCCAGATTGACCAAAGAAGTGGGGTGGGGAGTTGAGTCCTCAGGGAACTCTACAAAACTGGAGATTCCTCTCTCCCACCCTTTCTATTTCCTTTATTCCTGACCTGCCAGCTGTGTCCCACTGCCCCCTGGCTGGGCCTTGGCTCCAGGCCAGGGCCTGGGGTGGGGTGTGGGGATATCGTAGCTGGGAGCCCCTGGCCCAGGCGTTAGGTCACCCTGGGGGAGTGGAGCTGTCTCCCAGGTCGTCAATTATTCAGAGCATGAGGGGAAGGGTAGCATTGAGACAGGAGGAGTGGATATCTCTGTCATTCTGACAATCCTACCTACCAAGTGTTGACTGTGCATCTGCCTCAGACTGGGTAGGGGGTCAGAGTGGTCTCTAAGTCATACATTTTCCAGAGAAAGAGGCTCTTTGGACCCTGAGAGGGCTTAATTCAGCTTTAGCTAGGAGCTTCTCTGTTCTGCTGATGGTTCTCAGAGTGCCCTATCTAGAGGGTATATGGTAGAGTGGGGCAAGGAGTCACCCAATCTACCCCTCCTCCTAGGTTCTCCTGCCTGAGATGTTGGAGGGCTGTGGCAGGTACACCCTTTGAGTTTTCTCTAGCTCCTTCTTGCTCTAACATCAGAATCTCAATGCCAAGCTGCTTGTTTGGTGGTCTTGGGAACTCATTTCGGAGGCCAGACCATCTTGGGCTCTCACTGAGCGCTCTCCACTATCTGGGACCTCATCTCCACTCAGGAAAAGAAGGAAGACTCCCCTTTTTTTTTAAGTTGGGGTCTTCAAAGGGAAGGGAGACCCAGGAATTTGGAATCCTAGTTCCATCCTCTGCAAGCTTTGAGAGCCTGGGAGGATAAAGGACTCAGATTGAACGTGGCCATGCCTCCTGTCCGCTTGGCTGCAGCTTGTTTTTATTTTCCCTTTTACAAGATCCATAGTCCTGGCCCTAGGGTTCTTCTAAGATGCAAAGAACAGCTTTTCTTAGTGCCCTCATGAGAGAGAAATGCCTTCCCCTGAGAGAACCTGTAGAAAACTTGGAGATCATCTTTAAATCCAGGTCCTCAGCCCCATACAGGTCAAGCCCTGAGACCCCTAGTTGCCATACTTCTTCCAGTAAGGTGATCAGTGAAGGGGCTGGGGGAGAGAGAGACAGTACCGTTTAGATTAAAAGAATCAGCTTTGATTTCAGAGAGATCAGAGCGAGGATCAGAGTTTTGCCACGAGTTAGCTTAATATAATCTCTTTGAGACCTCTACCCTACCTTATGGGGTGGGGGGTGGAGTAAGCTGGTGTAGGGAGTGCAGTGAGCACTTTGCCTGCCTGCTTGCTTTGTCTTCCTGGTTGGCTGGACACTAGGTCTTGCTTTGTGGATCCTGGAGAGGCCATCTTTTCTGTCTGACCAGAAAAAGGGAGACTTGGTTGGTCTCTAACCTTCTGCTTCCCCAGGACAGTTCACAATTTCAGGTTCCAGTAGAACCAGGTCACAGTGGTAGTGGTTGTGCTAGAGCCCCCAGTCATTCCTTTACCAGGCCATCCATCCTCCTCTGCAAATCCTACCATTCCACATACTCTGGACTAAAGGCAAAGGCCTGATTTTCTGCCCCCCATCCTCACTCCCTGGCCAGTTCTCTTTGGAATCTGCTCTCCTGCAGTCATACCACTAAGACCCTCCCCTTGATCTCATGGCCCAGGATTGGTCTCAACCCTACCCACTGAGGGCTGAGGGGAAGGGGAGGGCCTGGCAGGTTGGGCTGAGCCACAGGGGGCCAGGTGCCCCTGGAAGAAGCTCAGCATATTTTAACACATAGTTCCTCAGCTGGATGTGCATTTTAAAAAAATCTGGAAGGATAGATACCAAAGTGAAATCCTTTCTAGGTAGATGAAATTATGGCTGTTTTTTCTTCTTTTGACATACCTATATTCTAGTATTTCAGTAATAACTTTGAGTTGCTTTCAAAATAAGATATAAGATTTATTTTATAGAGATGAAACTAGTTGAAGAATAATAAAGAAATGCAAATGAAAATGTAGAATATAAAAAAAAGATTTTAAATTGCAAAGGAAAATAATTTTTTAAAAAAATTATTGTCATTCCATTCCTGCCACCTAGCTTAGGATAGTTGTGCTGGGAGAGTGGACAGTGTGGAGGGAGAACACAGGCCTGACAATCAGAGAGGCTTGTGGAGGTCTCATCTCTGCTCCTGACCAGTTTGGTGACCTGGAGTATGAGACTTCTTTACTAATCTCAGTTTATTCATCTCTAAAAGGGGACAGTGTCAAATAGTGGCAAAAGAGTAAAAACTATGGTGGGTAAGAACACAGGTTCTGGGGCAGACAGACCTGGGTTCAAATCCTAGCAGTTGCCACATATTAACTTTTTGATTTTACCAATGTAAGTTTCAGTTTCCTTCCCTCTCACACAGAGGTAATGACAACACTATCTTAGTCTTGTTATGGGTATTATTGAGATAATCAAAATAAAGTTCTTGACCTAGTACCTAGAACACAGGAAGCTCTGTACAAACATTAGCCTTTTTCCTCCTTCTCAAAGCAAGAGACAGTAGGGAGGGTACAGGTAGAAAGGGAGTGGAGAAACCAGCAGGGACAAAAGGAGAGCAAAGAGAAGAAACCAGAGGGCAAGGGCTCTCTAGCCTGGATGATCTTTATTCTCCTTTGGAGTAGCGGCACTGTCACGGTCTCCTCACCCCATTCCTAAAGAAACACGCATATGACCCTGGTCCTTCTGGAAGCAAAAGAACCAGACAGGCCAATCTGTGTGGCCAAGTCCTCTAGAAGCCCCTATGTCCCCTGCTGGCACCCTCTCAACACCATCTTCCTTCCATCCTAGCAAGGACTCCTTAAGAGCCTTATTCCCTAATCCTTTCTTTCTCCCCAGACCCAGGCAGAGGAGAGGCAGGACTGCATGTGCCTGAACTACTGAACTAGTTAGTGGCTACTAGAGCTTAGGGGCATCTTCCTGGCAGAGCCAGACTCTGCCATATTATCACTGCCATGGGAAGGACAGGGGAACAGCAATTGGTTTTAGAAGAGTTCTGCCATCATCAGCTGTAAGGAATCCTAGGATATCCTGAGCCACTTACTAACTTAAACTTCTGGCCTCTGTCCATGACTGGGTTTCACTAAGGGACAGATGTTTAGTTGTGTGATTTCATGTGTGCTAGGAGTTGGAGTCTTCCCAGCATCACTGCAATCAACAGTGTGAGGGACTGGATGGTGGGCTTGGGAAGGCAGACCCTTCTTCACCCTTAAGTATGAGCTAGGAGGGAACAGGGCCCTAACACTCAGGGAAACTTCAGTGCCTGGGCAGGAGGACTCAGGGGACACTCAGGCCCTTTCCTTCCTGAACCCCGTCTGCTTTAGCTTGGTATGACCCTCTGGTGAAAGCCAGAGCTCCCTGAGCAGTGGAGCTGGCCCTGAGAGTTTTAAGGGAAATGGTGCTTAGAGGGAGGCCCTGACTGTGGCTGGAGGGGACTCTGGGAGGGGTGAGGGGACCTCATGTGCACGCCCTCCTGACTGAAGGCCACTCACCTACTTTCTTCCCCAAAAGTTAGCAGATGAGGGAGCTAAAAGGTGGGATTCTTCCTTCTAAGAACACCTCACTATTTCCTCCCACTGTCTACAGAGCCTTGATTCCTTCTTTTCCCTCCCCTCAGCCAAGGGCAGGGTAATCAGCAAGTCTCAACTCTGTGGAAAGGATTCTTGCTTATTTTTAAGCCAAGGAGTTTGAGGAGTGTGGGAAAGGTAGGAGGTCGTTTTAGGGCCTGGCCAGGAGAGGGTTAGGGGAGCCAGAGGCTATGGACAGAGAAGGGAGGAAGCCACATATGTGTGGGGGAGGGGAGGATGCAACAGCTGGATGGAGAAAGGGAATGCCACAGCTGGAGGGGATTAGGAGCATCACAGCTGGACGGGGAGGGGACCCCAGCGCCTGGGTATCCAGGAACAGGTGCTCTCTGCTTGTAATCTTCATGTCCAGCCTGCTAAGTACGTGTGGGGGTGGGGTGGGGGAGAGGGAGAAGGTGGGTACACCAGGCCTTGCCCTTCCTTTCCTTTCCTGGAGGGGCCAAAACTCTCCCTCCTCCTTTCCCTCTCTCCATTCTTGAGGATGAGTGGGAGGAGAAGAGGATGTTCTCTTGCTCTCTGTCCTTTAAGTCTGTCCCCCAATTACCCCACCCCCCACCCCAATACAGTCCTTTCCAGCCCTGGAGGCCCTTCATCTCCGAGCTGGGCCGCGGCATCCCTCAGCTCCGTTCCCCTTCTTCCCAGCCCCACAAGCGTCGGGTCCAGGTTCCCAGTCTCTCCATCCCCACAGCCTCAGCATCCCCGCGCCACCTCCCCCAATCAGCCCACATCTGCATCCCGACCCTCCCTTCACACCCGGATCCCAGGACCCGGACCCATCCCTGCCCCCCGCCCCCCACAACTCGGCCAGGCTCTCACCTCGGGGGCTCCGCGGCCGCAGCACAAAAGGCGGCGCTGCTGCAGCTCCGCTCCGGATGCTGCTCCCGCCTCCTCCTCCTTCTCCTCCTCCTTCCCTCCTCCCCCCGCTGCCCTCCACCGGACCCAGGGCGCTGTCACAGGCGATGCTCGGGCGGTGTCCGGGTGCACGGGTGTCAGCCCCGGCTTTCTGCCCCCACCCCCCGACCCCTAGCTTGTCCCCACTCGGCTTGAACTCCCGCTCCTACCAGGGCCCCCGCCCCTGGCCCCCCGGGACGGACACGCCCTGAGTGGAGGATGCTGCGCTGGAGCCGCCGGCCTCTTAAAGGAGCCCGCTGCTGCCATGGGCGCTCTCCAGGCTTGTCCCTGGCCCGCCTGGGCCCCACGCCTCCCTGCTGGCTGTTTCTTGTGGAAGTCCCACCTTGGGCCTTATGCTAATTCCGTAGGAACCCCCTGTGAGCAGTCTTACAGACTCCTTCCTACACCCTGAGAGAGCAGCCCCTCAGATGGGATCCCCAGCGCTCTGGCATTGCTCCCCTGTCATACTGATCTTGCCAGCTCTCTTTCCCCTAATTGTCACTACTCCAACTTCACCCAATTGGAATTCGCTCAGCTCTAGGCCCACTCCTCCTCCAGTGTTCCTGCATGACCCCTCATTGTCATTCCAAGATTCCTCTGGACCTCCAATCCTGGCTCAGAGCAAGACATCTCTTCCTTGACCCATTCTCAAAACACTCATTAAAATCACTTTTTTTGGTGATCTCTGTCTCTCTTTCCAAGGTCACAAGATTTCCCCTATATCTTTCAGCCCAGTGGTTGCGTTACTTTGAGGAGGGGAGAATGGGGCTCTGGGACCCAAAAATACATGTCTGCTCTGCACCCAGATTAGTCAGTTGATTAGTCTTAGGAGACCAGACTCCTTTCTTGCTCTCTTCAGCAGAGGGACCCAAGACTCACGGCAGAGTGAATGAATGACACTATCAGGTGCTTTAGTCCTTCTAATCTTGTCGTCCCACTACGGCCTGATTCTCAGGCCCTGATTCCCTAGGCAGTTAAAGAGAGAATCACTAGGGCCATTCTAACAAGCCTTTAGAAGAGAAGCAAAACCTGAAGGGAGGTGAAGGACAACCTAGGAAACGGAAGCAGGTTCTGTGACACGGAGGCCCAAGGGCTAAGAGCTTAGGATGGGAGTTGAGGAGGAACTGTTTAAGTTAGGCACGGACCTACAATGACCCCAGCGCCCTGCTGGGACATAACAGTCCCCTCCCACGTCTAGGTGAGTTCCATCCTCCCAGACCACAAGGAGCCAGGATCCGACAGCGCCTCCCCGGACCAATCACAACCTTCCCTTAAGAAAGAGGCGTGGCCAAGGAGGCGGCTTCTTCCTTGTCCCCGCTCCTTGAGGCGAAGTAACCAATCTCATTGCGCCAGGAGAAAGACGCAATCGGAGTAACCAATTACACTGCGAAGCTTCTCGTGCGTGTTGACACTGCCCCTCCAGCTGCGACAAAGATGGTGCGCGAGCTCCTGGGTTCTGTAGTTTTCTTGGGATTCAAAAGGCCCGGTGCTCGAGTTAGCCCTTGCCACCCCCCAAGCCGCTTCCCTCTCTCCTAGCACGCAAGCCTACGGCCTCACGTCCCGGGAGAGGGGAGGTGCGGAAGGAAGGAGGCGGGACGAAATTAAAAAACGAAAAAAACAGCTTTCGCTCTGGAAGCGACAGCGGAGGGTCCCGCTCCTCCCAGAAGGCATTGCAGCGGCACGGGCCAAGCGCGCGGAGGGTTATGGGGCGGATAGCACTGCTCCTGATGGAGACCTACGAAGGAGGGTGGGCGCGGGACTCCATGTCCCAGCATGCCCCGCGGCGGGCCCGACCGGCCGCGACTCCGGGCTTGGTCCCGGCCCTAGCTCGTTGGCGGTGTACTGGGGCGCGTGGAGGCTACAGTCACTGTGGCGCCCGCAGGGACGGAGGAGGGAATGAGTGAAGAGGAGCAAGGCTCCGGCACTACCACGGGCTGCGGGCTGCCTAGGTGAGCCGCCTCGTACTGGTACCTGCAGGGCGAAAAACGTGGGGCGGTGCGGAGAGGGTAGCTGCGCGGCCCCAGCATGCACCTGGCCTGGGGGGTGTTCCCAGCAAGCACTGGGGTAGTGGGCAGTGGTTCCCGGCATGCACCGGGGCTGTGGCTACTGCCTTCAGCTTTGAATAGTTTGGAGTTGGCCCGGTTCCCAGGCTGCACTGAAGCACTGGGCTTTTATGCCCCCATGTTCAGTGCATTTGGTGGGTACTGGGTTCCTGGCCTGCATTGTGTCAGGGGGCATGCACTTTCACCTTGCACTGGGGCACAGGATCCCCCGCCTTAACTGAGACAGGAACAGAACAGTGCATTCCCTACTTGCCTTGGGGTAGTGGACCCTGCTTTCCCAAACTGCGCCTCCACTTGGACCCCAGCCAGTGGATGCTATATTGCCTGGGGTCCCCTGGACCCTATGTTCCACTAATGTGCCTAGGTCTAGTATGGCAGTGCTTGGCCAAGTGGGTGCAGAAAGGGGAGGTGTGATGTGGGTCTGTGCCCCTTCCCCCAGTATAGAGCAAATGCTGGCCGCCAACCCGGGCAAGACCCCGATCAGCCTTCTGCAGGAGTATGGGACCAGAATAGGGAAGACGCCCGTGTACGACCTTCTCAAAGCCGAGGGCCAAGCCCACCAGCCTAATTTCACCTTCCGGGTCACCGTTGGCGACACCAGCTGCACTGGTGAGGAAGGCTTGGTCAGCCTAGCCGGGGTGTGCGTTCACAGGGCCCCGTGGCTTTGTTTATTGGAGTCTCTCTCTTCACAGTCTTCTCCAAGGCCAGTGAGGGAAGGAGAGATTTCAGGGGAAAAGCTACTGACTGGATTGGGAGAACAGGGCTGTGAGAAGGTGGGTAGGATTTGGGAGAGCTAGAGGAGCGAGCAGGACTGCCACAGTGATCTGGCAGATCCTCATCACCGCAGAGGAAAAGTAAGAGGAGATAAACTGAAATCTCAGTGGAGTATTTGGGGAAGTGAATGCTTGTTGTGCTGGACCCTGTTCCAGGTGCTTAACCAAATTCCCATTTAATCTTAAACCTCAGTCTAACCAGTGATGTAGGTGGTAGTATCCACATGTTGAATATGAGGAAACTGAGCATCAGAGATAGTAAATGGCTCCTGCAAGATCACATCCAGGCCGGGCGCGGTGGCTCACGCCTGTAATCCTAGCACTCTGGGAGGCTGAGGTGGTCGGATTGTTTGAGCTTAGGAGTTCGAAACCAGCCTGAGCAAGGGCGAGACCCAAGCTCTACTAAAAAATAGAAAGAAATTAATTGGCCAACTAAAATATATAGAAAAAATTAGCTGGGCATGGTGGTGCATGCCTGTAGTCCCAACTACTTGGGAGGCTGAGGCAGCAGGATTGCTTGAGCCCAGGGGTTTGAGGTTGCTGTGAGCTAGGCTGATGCCACGGCACTCACTCTAGCCCGGGCAACAGAGTGAGACTCTGTCCCAAAAAAACACAAAAAAACAAACAAAAGATCACATGCCTAGTAAGTGGCAGAGCAGGGCTTTGACTCCAGAGCCTACCTGCTCTTTTTTTTTTTTTTTTTTTTTTTTTTTTTTAGCTATCTCTATTTATTGAGGGAAAAGAAAGTGCCTTGCAAAGGAAAGTAAGGCAGAGATAGAATCTCTACCTAAGGTGTTTGAACTCAGGAGTGCTGCCTGGCATGGCTTGATTCTGGGAGCTAATGGAAAGATAAGGGCCCTTCTTTCCAGCAATCAGTGAAACACTTCCAGTCTTTGGTGGGGGGAGGTTGGTCACAGGGGGCTTGGTTGACTCTCTCTGGCTGCAAGGAGAGAGGCTGTGGGGTTCTGGTTTCTCTTCTGTCCTTCCAGTGACCTCCAGTATTGCCCACACCCCCTCTCTCAGGTCAGGGCCCCAGCAAGAAGGCAGCCAAGCACAAGGCAGCTGAGGTGGCCCTCAAACACCTCAAAGGGGGGAGCATGCTGGAACCGGCCCTGGAGGACAGCAGGTGAGGGAGGAACAGCCAAGGCATCCTAGAAGCCCTGCCAGGAACCCAGGCCCCTGCACCACCCCTTCTTCCCCTAGGGCTGGCCTGGTGACTCTTAGCCACCCTGACCTGGCCTCTTACTGAGAATTTCCTCTGGACCCAAACAGGGTGCTTCTAGGGAATCTGCTGTGTGAAGAACTGTGGGGGGAATGGCTAGCCACACTGAGGGGTTGTGGCTGTAGTTTGTGCCCGGGTTGGGGAGGGAATGGGTGGAGACTGAGGCTAGAGTTGGTCTCCAACATGCTTCCTCTTCCCAGAAAGATGTCCTTCCCTCTGCCACGCTTGGGTTGGAGTTTGTTGCTACCATGGTTCTTGGGTACAAAGAAACCCCCTTTTCTGTTTGGCAGCAAATGATTCCAGGAGGAAGCTATTGGTTGACATTCCCTGAGTCTTTTGGCTCAATTGGGAAGGAGTTCTCTTAGCCCATGGCGGGTCAGGAGGACCTGGGTCCCCCACCCCTCTATTCCCCCTACACGTGAGTGTGAATCAAAGGCTCCCTTCCCCTCGGGAAGTTCTTTTTCTCCCCTAGACTCTTCACTGCCTGAGGACGTTCCAGTTTTTACTGCTGTAGCAGCTGCTACTCCTGTTCCATCTGCTGTCCTAACCAGGTATCTTGTGTCCCCTGACTGCCTGAGGGGGCAAGGAAGGGGTCCTGGCTCCTGGCCCCTCAGCCCTTGGATCCGGGCTGGTCAGGCATGAGGAAGTCTGAGCATAAACAGAATAGAATAGTTGGGGACCAGAGCTTGAAGAATTTGTACCAGCTGGTAAACTCTTGGGATAGGAGATAATTTATGATTTTTAAGTAGCCACATGAATGATGTTCAGCCATGTTTAAAGGTCTTGCAAGCCCCATTTTCTTCTGAGTTGGCCACACGATGGTCCTGTGTTTGCATCCCATTTGGTGCTTCTGGGGATTGCTCTATGGCCCTGCTCCCACCATCCTGGCGAGATGGTGCCAATCATTTCAGAATAGAAGTGGGCCTGGGACTGAGGGGAGGCCTCCCTTGAGTGGGAGGGGGAGGAAGCAGGCTAGACAGACAGCTGCCTGCTTGGTGGGGAATCAGGAGGTGATAGCAGGAGAAACTAAAGCAGTGCTTAGGCCTCGGGCTCACAGACAGCCTCAGAAGGAACCATTCCCCTCGACTTTGGCCCTGGGCCCTTTTTCCTTCAGGAACCCCCCCATGGAGATGCAGCCCCCTGTCTCTCCCCAACAGTCTGAGTGCAACCCCGTTGGTGCTCTGCAGGTGTGCCCCATCCTCATTTCCCATCATGCCTATCTTCCTTTGAACCAGGGGCCATGAGGGAAGGTTATGTGTGTTGGGGGGTGGGAGGGCATTTACCCAATACTCGGGCCCTTTCACCCCCTGTCTTTCCTCTCACCTAGACTCTGAGGCTCCTGGGGTGGGAGGGCGAGTGGGTGGGTGCTGGTGTAGGTAAGAGGAGCCTTTTCTCACTCAGCCTTATGCACCCTGTCTCCCTTCCAAGGAGCTGGTGGTGCAGAAAGGCTGGCGACTACCGGAGTACACAGTGACCCAGGAGTCCGGGCCAGCCCACCGCAAAGAATTCACCATGACCTGCCGAGTGGAGCGTTTCATTGAGATTGGTAATCGGGCAGATGGGGGTTGTCACAGCTCCTACCCTGAAGCACTCCAGCTCGGCCATCAGGCAGCTTTGAGTCTCACTCTGCCCCACCCCTGCTCTCCTTGCTCCACGACCCCTGGCTCAGCGCCTCCCTCTGAGCTGCTGCTTTGTACCCTGTCTGTCCCCTTCCTTTCCGGCTGACTAGGTTCTCAGGTGCATGGGCAAGTCCTGAGCTCCCCTTTCCATTGAAATCCTCAGGAGGGCCCCTCAATCCGAGTATGATGTGAGTGGGAAGCACTGGGTCTATTGGGAATCGTAATCTAGCAACTCTCTCCCCACACACAGGCAGCGGCACTTCTAAAAAACTGGCAAAGCGTAACGCGGCAGCTAAAATGCTGCTTCGAGTGCACACAGTGCCTCTGGATGCCCGGGATGGCAACGAAGCAGAGCCTGATGATGACCACTTCTCCATCGTGAGTGTGTGGGCCATCCTCCATGCCAGTGTAGGGTACTGGGGACTTGTGTCTGTGACTCTGGAGTGAGCCTCTCCGGGTCCCATGCCTGTTTCCACCCCAGTTTTCCTGACAGACCCAGGATTCCTTGGGCCCTCCTCAGCCTTGACTGCAGGGCCACCTGCTGAGCTGGCCCATGGCAAGGGCCCTGTTGGCTTCTTTTACTGGGATGAAGAAGGCTGCCTGGCCATGGTTGGAAGGGGCCATGCAGGAATTGACTGGGGGGAGGCAAGCTGGAAGAAGCATTCTTTGGGCTTTTCTGTCTTTGGACATTGAATGTCTAAATGCCTGGGTCCCACAGCCTCTGGCTGCAACTTTCTCACTGTCCCCATCTTGTCAGGGTGTGGGCTCCCGCCTGGATGGACTACGGAATCGGGGCCCGGGCTGCACTTGGGATTCTCTGCGAAATTCAGTGGGAGAGAAGATCTTGTCCCTCCGCAGTTGTTCCCTGGGCTCCCTGGGTGCTCTGGGCCCTGCGTGCTGCAGCGTCCTCAGTGAGCTCTCTGAGGAGCAAGCCTTCCACGTCAGCTACCTGGATATTGGTATGGCTAGTTGGGGAGCCGGGGGATGGTGGGACTGGACCTGAGCAAGTACAAGAGGGTCAGGAGGGGATGATGGTGATGTGAATGCACCCCTGTTCGGACTACCTCCCCAACCACCACTGCCTCCCTCCTCTCTCTTGGTCTCTAGAAGAGCTGAGCCTGAGTGGGCTCTGCCAGTGCCTGGTGGAACTATCCACACAGCCAGCCACCGTTTGTCATGGTTCTGCAACCACCAGGGAGGCAGCCCGTGGTGAGGCTGCGCGCCGTGCCCTGCAGTACCTCAAGATCATGGCGGGCAGCAAGTAAAGCCCCAGCTGGACTTATGGATGCGCACCCTTTGCTCCCTGCTCTTCCTCGGGGCCCATGCATCTGCCCAGCTCTGGTACCCACTGGAGGTGCCATCTCTACCTCTGACAGACTGCCTGCCTTGAGGCTGAGGAAGGCAAAGGGCGAAGAGCCAGGGACCACAGGGCCTCAGCCAGCCCAGGATCCATCCTCATTTTGTTGCTGATGATGAGTGGGAATGAAATTGCAGGTTCTCTGCTAGAGCCCAGAATAAACATGCTGCTCCTTGGATTCTTAAACCCTGCTCTGTTTCCCTGAGTAGTGTGGACGGCAAAGGAGGTCAGCACCACGTTACTTTCCACTGTAACTCCTTTGGCTCCTTTGCTGTCCCCCCACCTCACGCCCTGCATATTCATGTGTTTTCCTTTCTGGTGGCAGGAGGCTGGGTGCAGTGAATGTGAACCCTGTCAGCTGTGTTCCTGGAGAGTTTGGTTTGGCAGAGATGGAGGGGGGTGGTCTTGTCCTTGGGTTCCTTCCCAGCCCTTTGAAGGCACAGACACACGTGGATTCAGAAGCCAGACAGCTTTATTTGGGGGGGGGGCACACATGGCACTTTGGGGTGTGGGCCTTGCATGCAAACACATCGAGGATGACATGTCATTTCTTCCCAAAGCGTTGAGGGGCAGCCAGGCTCCAGAACTGGGAGCTCAGCCCTTCTCCAGCCCGGGGACTCAGGCGTGCATTGCTCCAGGTCCCCTGGGTATTTCTGCCAAACCTTAGGAGAGATTTGTGCTCAGATATAGCTCCCCTACATCTCTCCCTTCCCAAGCCCCCTTCCTTCTCTTCCTCTGTCCCCTGCCCTTTCTACCCGCAGCCATGCTAGTGTCCTTTTCAGACTTACCTCTGGGGTTGAAACAGGAAAGCTGGGCTCCGGCCAGGTCTCTCCATGGCCTGGAGCAGGGAGCGCAAGAGTGACCCAGGGGTCTGGGCATCCTTTGGTGGGCGGGGTCTGTTGTCTTCCTCCTGTGGCAAGGGGGTATCCGGGAAAGAAGATGGGCAAATGCCCTGGAAACTTAAGTCACAAGGGGAAGGGAGTGGCTTCCAGGGGTAAATTGTAGGATTTTCCGACCTAGTGAAGACCTTGGCAGCCAGAGAGAGTATCTGAACCAAGAATACAAGTCTCAGGTAGAGGAAAATGGTGATATGGGGATGGGGCATCACTTACCATGAAGATCTGGTCTCCTTCATCCTGGCCCCCCAGTCTTCCAGCGTGGCTCCAGTGTATTAACAGCAGCACCAGCAACACAGCAGCCTGCCTGGAATCCATGCTGCCATCCGCCTTCCTACAGCCACACCAGCCTCTTATACCTGCTGTCCCCCCTGTCCTCCACCCCCAACAGCAGCCTGAGGGGGAATCTAGAGCAGGCAATGGAAATGCACAGCTCCATTAGGAGCCTCCTGGGATCCCCTCCCATGACCACCCGGGACTTCCTCCTCTCAGCCTCCGGCCCCCAGCCCCTAAGCCTGAGGTTATAGACTTTATTAGATGCATAAATCCTGTCTCCAGAGCTTAAGAAGCATCATTAATTGCAGATGCTTTGTCACAGCCAGGCCCTGGGGAGCCTTTATAAGAACCCCCAATTTTTCAACAGGTTAGGGAACTTCAATTTATCACCGCCCTGCTTTCCTAACTTGTAGACTAAAGCACAAATTCTTGTCAGGTGGGGTTAGGTATTTTTTTCTAGAACAGAACGAGAGAGGGAAGAGCCAGTGTTAAAATTAGCCAGCATGACATAGCCTGGTCCTTCCCTGGCTGGGGCTGGTGGTCGAGATCACACCGCCCTTTCCCTGCTTGGTGCCTCTTGGAGGGTTAAAAATGGAATCACTGCTCCAAGATTTGCTTGTGGATAGAAAAGTAAGATATAGAAGGAGACTAAAGGGTTTTGGATCCCACAGAGAATGGGGGTGGCTTCAAATCTTTGTAGACCCCCATATTCACCAGAAAACACTGGTCTGGACCTATGGAGTTGCCCACCACAGCTGAAGCACTGCTGCCACCCTGTGGCCACAACTTCTCACTGCCAGCGCTGGCCATTTCCTTTTTTTAGAAGAGAGCTCTTTCAAGAGGAACCTGGGAGGGTGATGCTGAGTAGAGATCCTAAGACCCTGACTCCCAAGAGTTCTGAAAGGACAGGATACTGTGGGATTGGACCCATAATTTTGTCCCACTTCCCTGTAGTCACCACAGCCTCTGCCTGGCTTTGGCTCTTACATACTGGGGCAGACTAGAATCCTGCCTTAGGAAAAATCAGAATCACTACTTCTCAGGGAGGGGCCCTTCAAAGTCATCTGATACAATTTCCAGAATTACAAAATCCTGGAATCCCTTTCTGAGCACCCCCACAATGTGGTTCTCTAGCCTGTGCTGAAGAGGTACCATGATGTTAACTCAGCCCTGAGCAAGCTATCTTCCTCTCTAAACTGCAGTTTCCTCACCTAAAACATGGGCACATGAAAAGGAACTACATCCTAGGGTGAGCATTATTTGAGATACTTTTTATAATCCATTCAGCACAGGATCTGGCATAGAGCAAGTATCCTCGAAACGTTAGCTGTGATTACCTTGTACACCCCTGTCCTGGGGAACTTACCATCTCCTGAGACAGTCTTTGGGCAGATTTATCCTGTGCTGAGGGGCTTTGATCTCCCTGTGGATTCTATCAAGGGTCTTAGTTTGTGCCATTAAAACTCACAGAACATTTCTCATCTCTTTCATGTTTGAAGACAGATTTCATTCTTCCACTCCATAGTCTTTTTTGGTCAAGGGGAAGTACCCCCTCCTTTAAAACAAAGCATCTAAGAACCAACTTATACCAGGCCTCCTCAAACTGTGGCTCACCGAGGACATTTATCCAGTCCGCTGGGTGTTTTTGCTGCTGCTGCCTGTCCTGCTTAGCAGCCAACTGGTCCCGGGCCCACAGTGCGCATGTGTGGAATGTGCACAATAGCCACACTCTCCAACAGCCCTCCAACAGTCTGAGGGACAGTGAACCAGCCCCCTGTTTAAAAAGTTTGAGGACCCCTGCATTAGACATATAGATTAGAGCAGGTTTTGGTCTGAGTGTTCCAGATACTATATATTTTTATTAATGGAGTCTAAGCTAGGGTAAACCTTTTTTAATATGGAACGCTTCACAAATTGGTATGTCATCCTTGCGCAGGGACCATGCTAATCTTCTCTGTATCATTCCAATTGTAGTATATGTGCTGCTGAAATGAGCACAGGGTGAACCTTTTCGTAAGCTTTGTCTCATGGTTGGTTTCAGGCACAGAACCTGACATTCATCTTGTAGTTAACTGCTTCTTCAAAGGGAGTATCAAGTCCATTGGTAGGTGGTTCTGTGGGAAGTGGCTCCCTGCATCCCACCATGGTCCTTGTCTGTTCCTATCTGACAGAGGTGCAGTGCAGCAGGGTTGTGAGGATGGGTGGGGCATTGCAAAGAGTGGCTGTGGGCCAGACAGAACTCAGTTTTAATCCTAGCTCTTGCACTTTGCTGTGTGACTTAGCTAAACCTTAGTTCATCATCTGTAAAATGAAGCCGCTACTCCTGCTATAGAGGTGGCTGTGAGCATGGCAGCATTCTAGCATTCCATCTAGGACGCAGCAGGCAGAGAAGGTTTGCCACCCTGCTGGTGCTCCTCCTAATATTTCCCTCATTGCCAATTACAAGTGGATCTGAGTTGAGGCTGCATTCAGAAAGGGATTGGTCTAGCAGGTTTCCTATACCCAGGATGGAGGTGGCTGTCCTCTCCTTTGGTTAGCAGTTGGAATGCGTTCCTTCCTCTAACCCGGTAAACTGCCCTGCCTTCAGAGTGCATTCCCACCTTTAAAACCTCTCAATCTTGGCTTTGGTGCTGGCTTTCAGCAACCTCCTTTCTTACCTTTCTCTGGACCCCCATGTGCTCCTGACCACAACACAATGAAGACTACTGCTGCCTTTCCCCTAAACAGGCCAAGGCTCTCTATTTGTGTCAATTGTCTACCAAACACCAGCCACAAAAAGCTTTTAAAATAATTTCTCTCCTACTGGGAAAACTAAGAAGCACCTGCTGCCTCTTTTGTTCTCTGGTGAGTGCTCTCCTGATGCCAAGGGCCCTTGTCTCCAAGGCAGTCCACAGATCAGAGCTCTGGTCCCTGCGCCTTCGGTCATGCTTTGTAATTTATATAAATCATTCACCTTCTTTAGGCTGTGTCTCCCCTATATTAAGAAGTAGGGTCAAGAATCCATGTTCCTTCTGTCCTAAAAAATGGGAGAGTGAGGGAGATGACAGACATGAAAACCCAGTGAGTTCCCAGAAGAGTGGACAATAGGACTTGTAGATCAGAGTAGTGAAGCATCAGACATAACAGTGGTTCTCTTGATAGTTTAATGTCATATTTGCAGCATAAATAAGGCACAATATATGCCAGGGCAAGGGAGGGAGGGAGAAGGCATGGCTGGAGGGATAATTGCTAAGTGGCAAGGGGAAGGTAGAAGGGATGGTTAGGGAGAATAGAGCGAAGCCCCTGCCTCAGCCCCATCCCAGGAGATTGTGAGAGCCTGCTCACAGGGATCATGCTGAATCAGGTGGAGGGGACAAGGGAAGACAGTTTTGTAACAAAATAGCCTGTAGCACTGCATCCTCCTACCTGTCAAAGTCCACCACTGAGGACTGGCGAGACCCAGACCCAGAGTCAAGTTCCTTGATAAGATGGAGAGGTGTTGCTACATGTCAAAAATAATATATAGATGAACAGAGATATAATCATAGATATACACTGCTTTCTTTTCAATAGATACTATGTCAGGATGCAGCAGCCTCCACAAATGGGCTAGGGGCTCATCTCCTCCCTGCCTGAAAGGTGTGTGTGTGTGTACGGGAGGAACGGGACAGCTAAAGCTCCAGCTGGTCCTGAATGTAACAAAGAATGTGGAGTGACCAGTCTGCAAGGGAATATGGGACAACTCCTGTCCAGACCAACACAGGGATAGGTTTTAGGGCAAAGACTAGAAGAAAGACAAACCTAGATTCTGAGATCAGTGATGCGATGGTTATTTTAAAGGGTAAGAAGGGAGGGACTGGAAGAAATAGAAAAATGTTAGTGCTAAGGCAGAGGATGGTATTTAAAATATTCTCGACACCCTGTAAGAATTTCCCAGCTTGCCCCCAAGGCAATGGTTTCCAAACTTTAGTGTGCATTAGAATCACCTGGAGTGCTTGCTAAAACCTACCCCCAGAGTTTCTGACTCAGCAGGTC